ATGCGTGGCCTTCTGAGGTTCGTAGCCGGTAACGTGTTCTATCCCGTGAGCCAGAACTACACCATAGTGCGACGTCCATGGCAAACCTTCTACAGATGTAATGCCTACCCGACCGTCGTGGTGCAAGCAAAGAATGCCAATGACGTGATACTGACCCTGCAGTACGCAGAGGAGAATAAACTCCAAGTGGCGGTTCGCAACGGAGGGCATTCGTTCGCAGGAATAAGCAGCTCATCTGGCTTAGTCCTGGACGTGTCTTTGATGAAAGACATTCGCGTCACATCAGAAGAAGCCGACCTCCTACCACTAGTGAGAGTCGGCGCCGGTCAGGTGAATTTCGGTGGGTATTACGAACTGGCAAAATTCGACTTAACCCTTCCAGCGGGAGGCTGTCCGAGTGTAGGAATCAGTGGTCTTACTCTCGGTGGCGGCTTTGGCATTTTGTCCAGAAAATGGGGCCTCACATCCGACCAAGTGTACTCCATTGAGGCTGTCGTGTATCAAGACCAATCCTACAAAGCAGTGACAGTAAAACCCGACAATCAGTATAGTGATTTGTTCTTCGCATTCCGTGGCGGCATGGGTGGGAATTACGGTGTCGTCACCAGCTGGACGTACCGTGCCCATCGCATAGAGACCGTCTATACATCCACGTTTAGCCTCGATTTAGTCGCCGCTAGAGCAGCTAAGTTAACATTTGACCCCAACGCTTACAGGCATATTGTAGACGCTATCGGTAACTTTTCCTTCTGGTGCGATATTGTAAGTGACAACACGAATTGCGAGATGGCCATATCAACCACACCATTGCCCACAGTGGATCTTGAAGGACCAGAGGCAGCGATCGCGCAACTGGCCAAAAGCGTCAATCTGGAGACCTACTGCATTTGCAATAGACGCGATTGTAGCGCATGCAGAGAAGAAGTAAACCGGCTGGCGCGCGTGCTGAGAGACGTCGACGCTAGCACACCCTGGAACCTGTACACCTCGGACATTAGCCCCGCAGCGGGCGTACCATGGCGCGAGTATATCTGGACCTTAGCGGGCTGCACCCAGTACTACAACGCTACGCTTTACAGTCGAGGACAGTACCCACCCATTTCGTTGGCGCAAGCTTGCATTGAGCACGCCCAGGCTGCGATCGGCCGAGCTGAGTACAATCGCAAGAAGAGCCTGTTCCTAAGCAAGAACCCTGACTCCAATCTGATGTTGAAGGTACTGGATTGGTTTGATTCGTTCTCCGAAAATATCATCGTCGATACCTACACGGCAGCCAATATAGAGTTTTATTACTGGCGTGGTGCACTTGCTCGCCCGCCTCGGTATGCTGCTGATTCTGCGTGGAGCCATCGCGATGAAAAATGGTTGGTCCACATCACGGGTCGCTTTCCTCAAGACGCCACGCCAGAGACAATTGCGAATGTATACTATGCGTTGGGAATGCTTCATAGCATCTTCCTCAACGCTGAGAAGAGCACCACGACCCGCATTCAGGACTATCAGAATTTCGCGGATGGGTCCCTCAGCTACGAAGGTTGGAGCCACTTCTATTTCGACCCACCTACGATTGAACGCCTATCGAAGATCAATTATAAGTACAATCCCAACGATATCTTTCGCAATGAGTTGTCTGTTCCATTGGACAGGCCTTGCGCATCACGGTCTTCTAGCTCTTCTTCCAGACTGATGTCCGCCGTGTTCATCGTGATGGTTTGCCTCTTGGCAGCCAGCACGTGGTGACATTGTTGACGTACAGAAGTAAGTTTCCTCTTTCCCAGTTCGTTGCGTTATGCATTACACTCTCTATTCTAGCTTTTTCTTACATTGCTAGCAAGTGATGAGTTTCCACCGAAGCCGCTCAAATGATTATATCTCATTCTCCTTGATGTTTAGGAGCTTTAGGAGCTGCATCTGCGCCTTGATCCTTGAAGGGTGGTGGCGTTCCTACGGATGCGGAAAACTCGGCCTCTATCTAGAGAAACCGAGTCTCACGCAAACCGTGAGATTTGTTTTCCTTGATGTTGATCGTGATAATTACATGTATATGCTCTGAGATGGTGATAGGACTGGTGTAGGTTGCACAATTGTGAATGCACATTTTACTGTAGTTTTTTAATGGAAACAAGGACAACGGCGGGTCACAAGTTCTGTGTTAGAGACCTTCGACTAAACCAGGGTTTGAACGGTCAGACGTGCACAAGGTGACCGACATGGAGCACTCGGACATTCCGCATTCTAACGCATACCTTGTGCCTCATCGTATTCCTTGTTACCATTTTAATATGTCCCTTTGCTCACCATCTGATTACTTACTCTAGTATTTGTCAATCATTCTTCTTCAAAATCATGCATTTGGCGACCATGCGACTAGAATGGTAACGCAAGTACACACATGAACACAATGTAGATACGCATCCACAGCACGTTGCCTTTGATTACTCGTCGACGAGCATTAATGTTCATGATAATAATACTTCAAGTAATAATACTATGTTCATACATTTTTTCCCACCGGTTTCGGACAACATTACTCTCTACTTTGGTGTATATGTGTGACACCCAGGCAGGCATAGTGGGATGGTCTAAGACCGTAATTGAGAAGCAGAAGCGGAAGGAATTTTTCCAGCCGTACTGCGACCCACAGTTATTGGGAACTCGTGGCCTCGCACGAGGGTAACATGGATGCAGCTAATGGTATTTCGGGAATTATTATGATTCTTTATTCCACTCCAAACTGAAAACAATAAATTAAAATTTGAGGTTTTACACTAACTCACCGGACTGATCATAGCCAAAGGTAAGCAGAGCATAATTATGCAGGCTTATAATTGGCTCTCCGAAACACTGAATACCAGGAACTCATTCAGTCTCCCACGCGCTGCGCTGCCGCCACCCTATTCACTAGATCCCCGATCTTTGCTGGCTATGTGTTTTGGGAAACATTACCAACGCAGGCCAAGACCAGCCTGCGATGGATAATTTTGTTGCTAAAATCTCTGCTCAATTACAGGTTTCATGTATTTGCATGACATCCTGCTGGTTTGTCTCCTCCTTTGCCTTCTTTGCCTTTATTTGTATTCTTTTACTTGAAGTATCTGTTTTACTACTGTGGTTGGTTTTCACCCTTGTCTCAGTTTTACTGGCCGTCATCATGATGTACCATGAGATAATGATAATATTATAAATACAAAATAAATGCAAAGAACGGAATAATGTAATAATTATTATGGGAAAAAGTAAGGTAGAGAGAGAGAGAGAGAGAGAGAGAGAGAGAGAGAGAGAGAGAGAGAGAGAGAGAGAGAGAGAGAGAGAGAGAGAGAGAGAGAGAGAGAGAGAGAGAGAGAGAGAGAGAGCGAGAGCGAGAGAGAGAGAGAGAGAGAGAGAGAGAGAGAGAGAGAGAGAGAGAGAGAGAGAGAGAGAGAGAGAGAGAGAGAGAGAGAGAGAGAGAGAGGAGAAAGGCGTATGTACCATCACAGGCATTAAATCCCATAGATATCATGACAACAGGTATTGCAAAAGAGGAGCAACCGAAGTTGGCGAGAAATTCAGGCCGGCAAAGCTCATCACTGGGCACAGCCTCCAATGTGTGCCCACAGAAAGATCAAGCACGAATAACCTTAGAAATACCACAGTGTTTCAATTACAAACTAAAGCGAATACAATAACAGACGCAAATACAATAACATACAGAGCATAAGAAGGACCACCAGGAAAAGCGAAGAGCCCTATGCTGTACCCAAAACAGATCTTAGAATGGCCATCGAGCCAAGGATAGCAGCCTGGAGCAGTCATGAAGGTGCCGCTCTTCTCCACATGGCTGCTAAATTGAGGTAGCCGCTTCCTTCGTCAGGCCACCAAAGCACTAACTATGATGAGCACGACGGACACTGCCTCTCGCTGACAAATCTGCCTAGTTTCCACTGCGAGGGGCAAGTACTTTGCTCTCTTCTCAGCATGTTTTAGTGTTACTCTATGATCCAGTGGCACACTGACATCAATAAGTTAGACTGACTTGCCATCGTCCCACACAAGATCCGGCCGATTTGCTCCAACCATCCTGTCTGTAGGGATTGGCATTTCCCACATTAACTTACGGCCTTCACTATCCTCGACGTAGTGTGGCAAATGGACCGGGGAGCAGGAGGCACCAGTTTGTAGCGATGACAGAGTGCCCGGTGGACGATAGCAGCAAGACGACTATGGCGAGTAATGTATGCCGTCCGTGCCAACACGGGGCAACATGCCAAAATATTGTGAACGGTCTCCCCCGAACCTGCGCACAAATGGCACACGTCAACCACGGAAGTGTCGCCAATAACCGACCTCTGGTAGTTCCTGGTATTAACCACCTGATCCTGAGTAGCAAATACGGATTATTATTATTATTATTATTCTCAATTCATGGATGACATGGTGTCAACCAATATTATGAATGAGGGCTACCAGCCATGGAATAAAAGAACAAGAAGAGGCAAAAATGCACGGATGACTCAGTGGATGGACGCAATGTGGGAGACTTTAAGAAGTTGAATGAGAGAGGCATGTCCAATACACCGTCACTCCTCTGCCAATAGCGACCATGCAGCAGGGGCTTCTGCCGCAGAGAAGTTTGTGTTGAAATTCTCCGTAGCCGTGGCTGCCCGGGAGATGATCGACTTTGTAGGCGGAAGATTTTCCTGATGAGCATGCAATGATGCAGAGCAGCAATCAGCGGCAGGTCAGAGTGCACCTGGAGATACCTAGACAGGCGGATGTATTTCCTCTCCAGCAGGTGCTCAACCGATACAATCCCTCGGCCGCCCTTAGATCTCGGCAGGAGAACGCGGATGGTGGAAGATCGTGGGTGGTATGCTCCCACTGCGCGGAGCGCACTTCGGACATTCCTGTCGAATGTTGCAATAGCATCCTTCGTCCATGGCACAATGCACAAGCCATACGACAGTACTGGGATAACAAAAGAGTTAATAGCACGAGAGAGGTTGCAGGCCTTGATTATTAGTATTATTTATTATTATTATTATTATTATTATTATTGAACTCGGATGGACAGCCAAGGACTATTTATAAAAAGTAAAAAAAAGGACCAAGGAACTACAAGTAATAGTTACGCTATAATGTCCACTAACACCACCAGTTACTAAACAATCAGCTCCTGCGATAACATTGCACGACACTGACCGACGGTACTGACGTTCTACAACTAACTGGCTAACAGCTCTAGCACATCTTGGATGCGCACTCCAACAGCCTTCCAACTTACTTGGAAGGTTCTAAGTTATAGGAATAACATAAGGAGGGGAAGGTGAGCGCAACCAAGATAAGTACGAGCTGAAAGTCTCAGCTGTGAAGGACGTTGGCGGATGTTTATGCATGTCGATGACGATACTGGCAAGACCATTGGACAATACGGTCAAACCACGATTCAAGGACGCAAAGCAACATTCCACACAACTTGCGTGGCTCAAAAGATGCAAACCACTGAAGATGTTTGGCTTCATGCTATACAAGGGCACATTTCGCGATGCGACATGGCTGGCCTCTGAAGCAGTTGGCCTCGGCTGTGGTAATCACTCGCGCGCGCTCAACCGAAGACAACGCTAGTCTGGACATCGGTTCCAGTGGAGTCTGGGGAGGTCGGTACGAGTGTTCTCACTTTGATGTTCGGGTATTCAACCCCCACGCCCCGACGGCAAGTCTGGCTTGCCTGCTGTATACAAGCGACATGAACAGGAGAAGCGTCGCCGCTACGAGGAACGTATTACCAAAAGTCGGACACGCCTCCTTCTCACCAGTTGTCCTGTCCTGCACTGGAGGGCATGGCAAAGCTGCGACGGCACTCTATGCTCGGCTGGCATCGATGCTCGCCGACAAGAAGCGGGATCCGGGCCTTGTCACCATCTCGTACATCCGCTGCAAGCTCAGCTTCGCCCTCATTCGTGCTGCTGTTGCTAGTCTGCGAGTAGAGCCATTTTAGCCCTCTCCGTACAGTACTGAGACTGTTTCCACAGCCATTTTAGGTCCCTCGGTATTAGACTGTGTTCACAGCCATTTTAGCTCATTTTCTTCCGGTTGTCAGTGTCAGTGTCAGTGTCGAGGTTGCGCTTGTGTTTATTTTGCCCGTCAAACCATTATACTTACAAGAGGTGCGGCTGGGTTTACTAACCGGACAGGCTTGCTATCTTGATGCAGCATGGCAATAACACCATCGTATCCTGGATGGAAAAATGGAAAGCCCAACCTCGCGAAACCCGAGGCATGTACATTTCCCCTTCCCCTCCCGCTCAACCACTGCATTTTCCCGGTCATCTTATCCCACCCCCATCCTTATTGTGGACCAGCACAAGCACCTTGTGGGTTATCATAGACAAGACAGACAGCTCTCCTGCTCTCCTGGAGCCAACAAGCTTCTTCAAAAGCTACATTGGTCATTGTACATGTACATGTACATGTACATGATTGTACAATGCCATGTAGCGCTTACTTTTCACCAAATACCCAACCTTCTCATCTGATTCTTTCTATACTCTTGCTTCTCCCCCCCTCCCCCCCTTGTTGACCGACACCAGCAACATCTTTGCAGCCTTGTCCATAGAAATACGTCTCCCGCAGGTTCCACGGCATATTCATGCATAAACTGGTTTTCTACCAATGGCTCTTATGCGCTATTAAACCGGTTATTTTCGACTCTCGATTCCTTCATGCCTTTTAGTATTACTTATTTTTTACTGTTTTCGAAGTGT